TTTGAGAACAATAATCGCTCAGTTGAGCAAAGTACATATTTCAAACATTTTGGTCCTTCGAGCCGGATTTGGATCCCGGATAGAGATCCTGAATAAATACATATACAGTTCCTGAATACCGGTGTACGGCCTCAGGATGAGACTCAGTCATGTGGAAAATTATTTAGAACTTCAGTTCACCATGATGGGCATGATTGAAAAAACGAGTGATAACTTAATTAGTGTTGGACGATCAAATATTACGCTGACTATGGTGCAAACGCGTCTTACAGATTTAAAAGAGAACTGGGATCAGTTCTCAATGCGACATCAGGCCATCGGATTGGCAGTACGCTCATTAAATGCAGAGGATAGATTACTGATAATGAATCACGCGTATTTTTCGGAAGGTCTTTTTCCAAAGACGCATCAAATCTATCTTCGGGAAATCGATAGATTGAATTCCATTCTAGCGCGGGAACCAGAGTCCGTAACGCCTTCGAATTCTACGCAACCGGTTTCGCGGGAATTAGGGTCAGTAGCGCCTTTGACTTCTACTCAACCTGTTTCGCGGGAACCAGTGTCAGAAACGTCTTCTAATTTGATACCACCTCCTGTGAATATTTTAGAGGCGCAATCTCTTTCAGATCATCTAGCGTATCTTGATCGCGCACGTTTGCCAATTATTAAATTACCTGAATTTGACGGTACGCCAGATAGATGGTTGTCGTTTAAAGATTTATTTACCTCTATCATTTTAAATACTTCGCTGACAGCTGTCGAGAAACTGCAATACTTAAAGACGAGTTTAAAAGGATCAGCTGCTCTATTACTTAAAAATACCAAACTCACGGCCGATAATTTTCAAAAGTCATGGGAGGCTTTAGTTGCATTTTATGAAAATACACGATTACTCGTTAACGAAACTATTCAATCGTTATTCTCTTTGAAACGAATGACAAAGGAATCAGCTACTGAAATGGAGCAACTTTACACGAACATGACGCAAATCTATCGCACACTCGAGACTTTACAACGTCCGGTTGAAACTTGGGATGACATCTTAGTATTTATTGCTGTTCAACGACTTGACGCTAATTCGGTTAAAGCTTGGGAAATTCGGTTAGGCTCAGCAAAGCAGCCGCCTACATGGGATCAAATTCGCACTTTCATGTTTGATCGGTTTCACACACTTCAAGCTGTTGAAAGAAACAGATCAGGTTTCCGCTCACTTCAATCTACTGCCGCGTCACATTTTCAAGGAAAATCGAAAGATGAAAAAACCGGGAAGTCAAATTCTTGTGTGTTATGTTCAGCAAAACATTATATAGCGCACTGCTCGCAGTACACATCGAAAACTGTACAACAACGGATGGCGATTATTGCAAAACATAAACTGTGCTATAATTGCCTCGGTTTACACCGAGCCTCGGCTTGTCGGGTAACTACGCGTTGTTTGAAGTGTGGCAACAAGCACCACACCACTATACATCAATTTAACAAGAAATCGACAAATTCTGATCAGTCTTCGACTAAAGCAGAAACAAAAGCGGTCTCTTCTCCGACGATTAAAACGGATCAAGCTGCACAGTCAACTTCTACTAACTCGGATGTGAAAACAGTACATGCTGCTTCGATTTCAAGATCTACTTCAAGCGTATTATTGGCCACGGCACAAATTGTGATTGAAAGTCACAATGGAGAGCGCATAAAAGCTCGAGCATTGATTGATCAAGGATCCGAGATATCCTTAATTACTGAACGTCTTGTACAACGACTACGACTTCCGAGAAAACATTCGATCATCCCCTTGATTGGAATAGGAGCTCAAAAGGCCCGTCAAACCAGAGGAGTTGTTACCTTCAAAATGAAGCCGCATTTCGAGAGTGAATACGAATGTTTCATCGACGCTCACATACTACCTAAACTCACTACTTCGTTACCTTCCAAGCTTTGCGACAGTTCAACTTGGATTCATCTTATCGGATTACAATACGCAGATCCGGACTTTACAATTCCAGGATCTATCGACATCATATTGGGAGCTGACATTTATGGCATTATTCTCGAAGAAGGAATTATTAAGGGGGCTTTGGATACTCCAATAGCACAAAGGACAAAACTTGGCTGGATCATTTCGGGTCCGGCAGGAAACGCTTATAACTCTTTCCTAATTCGAAGTAATCATATCTCAACTGATAAAGAACTCTATGACTTGATTCAACGGTTTTGGGAGATGGAAAGGATTCCTATCTCGGAAAATTCTTCGTTATCTGAGGAAGATCAGCAATGCGAACTTCACTTCCAATCGACTCACACTCGAGATTCAAGTGGACGTTATCAAGTTAAACTACCTTTCAGTCAGCCAGCCGAAAAATTAGGAGACTCTCGGACGAAGGCTGTTAAAGTATTGAACAGTCTGTCTAAACGATTGTTGTCTGATCCTCAGTATGAAAAGGCTTATCATAAATTTATGGATGATTACAAGGAGTTGCAGCACATGACACTCGTTCCAGATTCCTGTCCAGAACCTCAACACGTTTATTATTTGCCACACCATGGAGTGCTACGTGACAACGATCTCAATCGTATTCGAGTTGTATTCAACGGCTCTAGTCGTACATCTACAGGATATTCTCTAAATGACATACTGTTTACCGGAGCAAAACTACAAATCAACTTGTTCGACGTTCTGATCTGGTGGCGCAGATTCCCATTTGTCTTTTCGTTCGACATGATGAAGATGTACAGGCAGATTTTAATACACCCAGATGATCGAGATCTTCAAAGAATTCTTTGGATCCTGCAATCTAAAGGCATTCTGACTATTCAAACCTTCCAGCTGAATACGGTTACTTATGGTGAGATTTGCGCACCTTTCTTAGCCCTTCGAACCATCATTCAACTCATTAAGGATGAAGGAAGTAAATACCCTCTGGCAGTTCCCGTTTTGAAGAAAGGCCGTTACATGGATGACGGATTCGGAGGTTCAGATTCAATCAAGAAGGCACGATCAATTGTCCAGGAAGTGACTGAGATCTGCAATGCAGGAGGCTTTCCGCTTCATAAATGGTCTGCAAATCACCCAGAAATCCTCGATTCCATCCCTCCGGATAAACAAGCCATTTCTTCTCCAGTGAAGATAAACGAGAATGCTCTCGTCAATACCTTAGGATTATGTTGGAATCCTCCTACTGATACCTTTCATTTTACTATTGAGATCCCAAAGCCCAATACACTTTCTAAACGAACAGTCATGTCAGTCATCGCTAAGATATTCGATCCTCTTGGTTTACTTGCTCCTGTACTTATTCCTGCCAAAGTTCTTATCCAGGAATTGTGGACTCTAAAACTTGGCTGGGATGACCCTTTACCAGGAGCAGTATCTACCAAATGGAACCAGTTCGTAAATAAGCTTCAAGAAAAGCATAAGATAGCCATTCCTCGTTGGATCGGTGTGACATCTGATCACCACATAGAAATCCACGGTTTTTGTGACGCTTCTCAGCAGGCAATTGCAGCCGCTGTATACGTACGATCCACCGACGCTCATGGAGTTACCAAAGTCTCATTGTTGTGCGCCAAAACAAAGGTCGCTCCTCTGAAGCGTCTTACCATAGCACGCCTTGAACTTGAAGGAGCAGTCCTCATGACAAAACTTATTTCTCAAGTTTCAAACATCCTCGAATGGGACAGAGTACCGGTTACAGTCTGGTTAGATTCTTCCATAGCTAAAACTTGGATAACTGGGCATCCTTCTCGTTGGAAGGATTTCGTACACAACCGAGTTGTATTTATTCAGAAAACTCTACCTCACGCTCAATGGAGATTCGTATCAGGAAAGGAAAATCCTGCCGATTGTGCAACACGCGGTTTAACACCCGTTCAAGTTCAAGAGTTTACAACTTGGTGGCAAGGACCACATTGGCTTTCAGCATCTCCTTCTACTTGGCCGAACGAAGTACGAGCTCTTAATATAGAAGATAATCTAGAAGAACGACCAATGAAAGTCGTCACCATCTCGAAGGACTACGGTCCTGAGTTATGGGAGCTTGCTCATCGATACTCAGATTTGACACGCTTACTTCGAATCACCGCTACCTGCATGAGAGCTATTGCTCGTTTCCGACGATCAAATGCAATACTCTCAGAAACTCCTCTGACTCCTCAAGAGTTAAATCACGCTAAACTCTTTTGGATAAAGGCCGTGCAACAAGTGTATTTCAAACACGACTTGCAAACTTTAAGTTCGGGACGATCTCTCGATAAGACGAGTCCACTTTTGCGTCTGACACCCAAATTGGACTCCGACGGATTCTTACGTGTAGGCGGTCGACTCCATTCCGCATTCCTGCCTATTAACACTAAACATCCGTTTATTCTACCGAAAGACTCCCCTTTTACTGCATTAATTATCGCTGATGCACACTTGCGTACTATGCACGGTGGTACGCAATTAACTACTAATTTTATTAGAACAGAATACTGGATAATAGGAGGACGAGCTCCAATCCGTTCCTTTATTCTTAAATGCATTCGATGCGCCCGCTTTCGTCAGAAAAGAGCACAGCAAATAATGGCTCCGCTGCCAATAGAAAATCTAACGCCATCTAGGGCATTTTTACATTCTGGTGTTGATTACGCAGGACCGTTTGTCCTTAAGACTTGGAGAGGAAGAAATCCCCAGACCTACAAAGCCTATATAGCTCTCTTTGTTTGCCACGCTACGTCGGCAATTCATTTGGAGTTGGTAACCGACTACACCACTGATGCGTTCATTGCCGCCTACAAGCGATTCACTGCCAGAAGGGGGATATGCGCCACCCTGATGAGTGATTGCGGCACGAACTTCAAGGGAGCTGATTCCGAACTCAAAAGGCTATTCTCGTCTTCTTCGGAAGAATTGGGGAACCTGGCTATGCTTCTGGCCAATCACGGAACGCAATGGAAATTCAACCCTCCATCTGCACCTCACTTCGGAGGTAAATGGGAAGCGGGGGTTCGTTCCGTTAAATTTCATCTCAAACGAGTAGTTGGTGACAACTTGCTTACTTTTGAAGAGATGAGTACTTGGTTAACGCAGATTGAGGCTACCCTCAATTCAAGACCTCTCTGTCCCCTAACTGATGATCCTAACGATCTCAACGCATTAACTCCTGGACACTTTCTGATTGGAGGTGCTCCCACAATTATTCCTGAACCATCTCTTGAAGCTGTTAAAGTAGCACGATTATCCAGATGGCAACTGATTCGACAAATGTTGGACAGTTTTTGGACTAGATGGTCCAGCGAGTGTTTACAACGCTATCTTTCCATTTACAAATGGAATAAGGCCACTCCTTCGTTGAAGGTTGGCTCTCTCGTATTAGTAGTGGATGAAAGGTACCCACCATCAAAATGGCCTTTAGGCCGTATCATTGAAACTTTTCCCGGCAGCGATGGATATACGCGAGTAGTCTCAGTTCGTACACAACATGCAGTATTGAAACGACCTATCGTCAAGGTTTGCCCGTTACCTATAGAATCAGACGTAGTATAAATGTTCGTTGACCCTGGTCAACGAAGGCGGGGAGAATGTTCGAAATAAGCGCGCAATACAGCGACAGCAACGCGGCGACCGCG